TATATGTAATGGCTTTTAGTATGCATGTGTTGTTTCATCTTGACGGTAAGCCTGAGTATGTAGTGTCATACGATATGGTGATCCGGGGTGAATGCAAGTAGCGTCTTGCACTAGTGTGGGTATTTAGCGTATGTAAATCCTGTATTTCTCTGGCGAGTAGAATAGAATTGACACACATGACATGATTATCTGCTGCATTGCACTATTTTAAAACTGATGATGATATCTGCTTTTAAACTTATATTGCACATGTAAGTGAGCTTGGGGTGGAAGATCCTTGAGGACCCCTTGTCTTAATGAGATTTCTTGTTTAGAGAGCTCACCCCACGTTTGGGGAATACTTATTTCAGGTTCCGGTAGTTTTGTGACTAATGCCTCTGGCGGCAGGAGGCCAGAGCTTAGTTGATGATATTATGCTGTTTGCTGCCATGACTGGTTATGGATGCTGTTTATGTTTTCCGTTATTTATGTTTACGTTGTTGTTGAGACTGATGTTGGGCGTGTTGCCTTATTTGAGTGAGCATGGGGATTGTCCATGACACTTTATGTTAGTGCTTTAGATTGGAGTTGTATAAACTGTTAGATGGTCCGGTCTACGTTGTTGTAGTTCCGTGACTAGAGCCACACTTTTATTATCTATGTTATGAAGTATATTCAGATAGCTGTTTTATTGCAATTACATACAGACGTTGTTTTATTAATTGATTAATAAGCAAGTTGGTAATGATAATGACATCATAATTGAAAAGAAAAAGATATTCCTCATTTTTATTAAGCGCTGCTTAATACGATAGTATGATAACATTGCCGGATATATACGGGGTGTTACAGCCTCCGTACTAGTCTTCGATACCGAGCTGGGTCAGAAAAAACATCACCATGATTCTGTTGAAGATTAAGGCCAGGCTCCATAGGAGTAGAGGCTGGTTTTGCTTCAAGAAGACCACTTTCAAATATTACTTCGAATACGTATTTCTGTTGGTTAAGTATTAGCCCATGTTTGGAGCGAGTTATCTCAAGCCCAAGGAAGAAACATTGTGAACTAAGATCCTTTATTCGAAACAGATTGTCTAAATGACTTTTGACAGCCTTTATTTCAGCCATATCATTGACTGCCAACACCATGTCATCAACGTAAACAAGAAAAGCAGTGAAGGACTCTCCTTTAGCTTTAGTGAAGAGTGAATGATCAGAACTAGACTAAGAATACCCAAGCAAACGCAGCTCTATGGTCAGACATGAGTTCCATTGTCTACTGGCTTGTTTCAGCCCATACAATGACTTTGTTAGTTTGCATTCTTTTTTAGCACCATCAGCATCAACTCCTTTAGGTACAAACATATACACCTCCTCTGATAAGTCACCATGCAGAAATGCATTGTTGATGTCCAACTGTTCAAGGAACCAGTTGTCGTTACAACTATTGCTAGCAGCAATCTGACTGTAGTTAATTTTGCTACTGGTGAGAATGTCTCAAAGTATTCGACATCCTTCATCTGATTGTATCCCTTCGCTACTAGACGTGCTTTATAGCAAGCAATGGTCCCATCTGGATTATGTTTGATCTTATAAACCCATTTTGAACTAATTGGACTTTTCCCTTTAAGAAGGTCTACAAATTCCCAAATTTTGTTATAGTTGAGAGCTTCAAACTCTTCGTTCATAGCAACCACCTATTTTCAAAATTGAGCAACTTGTTTGTAGCTTGTTGGCTCAACAAACGAGCTGATATTATGGAAGAAGGAAGAATACTCCATCAAACATATATCATAAGATACCACAGAAGGAATAGGATAAGGAGATGAGAAAGTGGTGGAAAAACTACAATGAAAATCAGCCAAGTGTTTGGGTGCAACTCTTGCCCATGTGGAATGTCTGAGCTCGAGATTCTCACTGCTGCTTTTCTCCTGGGGAGAAGTTGGTAGAATCATTTGTTGTGAATGAGTATCTTGTGGTGCATCTGATGCTATTATTGGTGGAACAATGCTTTGTGATTCAGAGGGAGATGGGCATGAGTAAGAACCTTCATAGGAATAACCAACGTCACTGTCAAGAGGCTAAGATTCACAAGGGAATTCTGTAAATTCAGTGGAAAATGGAAAATGTTGTTCATAGAACACTACATGTCTAGATACAAGGGTCTATTTGGAGAACCGATCATACAACATATAACCCTTCGTCCCATTTTTGTAGCCTATATATGTGTGTTTGCGTGCCCAAGGGCCAAGTATGGAACGACTAGTTACTAATGTAGAGGCATAAGCAATGCAACCAAAGGCCTTAAGATGGACAAATATAGGTTTCATTGAAGAGAAGCTCATATGATGACTTGTTTAATTTTGGTGTGTTGAGGCGATTGATGAGGTGTATGAGATGGATTACACAGTAGGACCACAAGCTTTTAGGAATTTTTCCTTGGAAAAAGAAGGCTCTTATTGTATTTATTATATGCTGATGTCTTCTCTCTACTATACCATTTTGTTGTGGTGATTCCACACAACAGGTGTGATGAATAATCCCCTTTTCTACAAAAAAAAAATAGTCATTTGAAATTCCAAACCATTATCACTTCGAAAAACTTGAACTATTTTATGAAATTGATTTTCTATCAATTCTACAAAGGCACGAATTTGTCCCCCCACTTTAGACTTTGACTTCATGAGAATACCCCACGTGAATCTAGTGCAATCATCTACAATAGTCAAAGAAAACGATGGCCATGAATTGAGGGCACCGAATATGGACCCAAAATATCTATATGCACAATAATAGGTTCAATTCTTTTAACAGAAGATAAACTTGAAACGCAATAAGTGATATAACCAGTGGCTTCTGTGTCAAGGATCCACTGAATTCTTGACTTACTTGCTGTGGATGAACTACTATCAGCACTAAGGGCTTTGGTCTGCACTATGCTGCTAACATCAGGAAAGGAAGAACCTTGAATCTGCTGCATCTGCATTGATTGTTGAATCATCTCCATTATAGCTTGATATTGGTTATTTGTGAAGATTTCTTTCATCTCAGCTTGTGAACCATTATCAGCTTGATCAGAAATCTCACTTGCCATTGCATTAACCTTGTGTCTAAGTACTCCTACACTTGCACGTAGGAGGATACCCATGCTTCTCAAAACATGTCTGCACCGTGTGGCTTATTTTTCCATAGTGAGTACAAAATCCGGTAGCACTTGCTCGTCCACGTCCACCAAAGAAGCCACATTCTCTTCCATGAGTTTGTGAACGTCTTCGTGTATGAGTTTGCTCAGCACAATAAAAGAGAACTCTTGAGGAATCAAGATTGGCTTCTAATTGCAACTAGCGTTCTTGTTGTGCAATGAGTGAGAAAACAAGATCGACTGAAGATAATGGATCCACCATTATGACTTGGGATCTCGCATGAGAGAATTGCTCATTAAGACCCTTGTGGAATCGAATAGAATGATCCCTCTCTAATATTCTTTATCTCTGTTGCAACTGAACAACAAGGATGTAAACTCTTACATGTAGGGGTAGGTTGCAAGGCTTATAACTCATCCCAAAGAATCTTGAGATGAGTGAAGTAGTCTGAGGTTGTGCTATCTCCTTGATGAAGACGATACAACTCATCTTACATATATGATATTATGAATATATCCGATTGAGAGAACCTTTCTTTAAGATCTCTCCAAACATTATACACACGGTCCATCCACAAAATTGATTGGGAGAATGAACTGGCGATTGAGTGATGCAACCACGAAAGTACTATGGTGTGGCATCTTTCCCAAGCTGCAAAACGTGGATCTAACGTTTCTGGAGCCAAGATTGTACCATTCACAAACGATAGCTTGTTGTTTGAAACTAGAGCCATTGTCATTGCTCTAGCCCATCCATGATAGTTCTTCCCGTTCATGGCAGTGGACACCAAAACCAGAGACGAATTCTCAGTAGGATGGAGGTAGCTAGTATGGACTTGTTGGATAAGAAAGATTGATTGAACTAATTTGATTCGTGGCATTACTTCAAACAACATCAGCGCGACATTACTTTGAACAACATCAGCTACAGGTTCTATCATGGAACTCTGATTCTTCATCTTGAATAACTTCTTCGGTGTATCAAGAACCTCCAAAAGAAAGGAAAAAAACTGGAAAGGATGAACAGAAGAGAGAAAAATTGAATCAAGAACGAGGGCGAATATCAGAGCTCCGTGAATAACTCTCGTACCATATTAGAACGTGTAAGTAACATCTGAAAACATCTCTTAACTGAATAAAGGAATGAACCAAAAAGAATGAATACATCATTGTAGCTACACGAATATACAGTGGAGCTGATGAAAGCAAAAGAAACTAACAGAATGCTAACTACTATAACTAATCGGCTAACAACTTTGATAAGTCACTAACTACTTCAACTGATACTAACAGATAAATTACACGGCGTATCTTATTTCATGGCGTATTCTTATTGCCATATTTCTTGGCGTATAAGAAGAGTCTTCACATAACCCAATGATGCTCAAATATGGCAATTCTTATTTCATATCGTATGTTGAACAACATGGCGCTCTATTTTCATACTGCTACGATATTGGCCTTTTAGAAGATGTCATACTTTAGGTCCTAACACTCCAGTGATCCATTATCCTTGCACTCCAATGCTCCATTATCCTAGTGCTCCATTCCTCCGTGTCCAGGGGGAAGACCGGTGACTGAAAAATAAGAATAACAAAGGTAAATCACCCAAACATCCTAAAACAATGACCAAAAAAAAAAAAAAAAGCTGTAAATTTCAAGTATGTCCTAAATATAGAAAAGCAAAGACAAATTTTGACTTTCGTCGGAGGCTTTTGGAAATATTTGTTACCCTCTTTTTTACAACACATACATTAACTCCTAAAATCCATGTGATTGCTCCCTTTAAACTTGCAATTTTTAAAATTAGAACTAACATTAATTTTGATTAGAAAATCTTTTGTTTATACATATATTGGGAAAAGCTAGCTTAGTTAGAATCTCAGGCTCTAATCTGAGTTTTTTCCAACTGCGCAGAAGCACCTGCAGGCACTATTAATCAATTCTCAAAACGGATAACACTATCTCTCTCTTAACTAGCGAAGAAAAAAGAAAAAAGAAAAAAAGCTACGGCAACAAAAGAAAAATAAGTATTATAAAGCATACCTGGAAATGCAAGTTATAGAAGACCCTTCCTCCAAAGGTTTCAGAAGAAGAAGCATTTAGCAGAAAAAGGCCATTGTTTTCTAGAAATAGTATGATCTCAGATAGTGGAGTCTTGTGGACCTCATAAGAGGAGATCTGAAAAGCAGCCTCGTAATCATTGAGCCTACTTGTTGAAACTACAAAAACAGAATTCTGATGGGGAATCTTCCTTTGAGATTCTTTGTTCACTGCATCTTCTTGTTTAGAAATTCTCGATATAAGTTCCTCTTTTTTCTTAGTTAGTCCTTCAACTTGCTGTTGTAAGTCAGGTATGTATTTTAGGACCCGCGAAATTGTTTCCGGAATGCTCATCTTTTTCTGCAACAATAATATGGAATGAAATCTCTATTGATGATAATTTAGCTTCTAACTGAGGAGTAAAATTGTGGGGTACCACAGAAACTTGCACATGTATAAAGGATTAAATATGAAACAAGCTATAGTGCTAACATAAGTGCTTATTTGATGCGTGAGTTTACATATTAACAAATAAAGAAGGTTGCTTTTTACAACTTTAGGGAAGTAATAATCCTCTTGAAAATTTACTTTTTTGTGGACAAATTAGTTTGAATGTTATTAATCCAAGAATAAGACTAAACGAGTAGGGAAATAGAAAGGGGTATATATTTTGTACCCCAAAAAACAACGAAACTGATATATATTTGTCATGTAATTAATATTCCTCAAATTATTTTGATTAATAATTAACATCACACTGTAAGGTTATTTCTTGCACAAGCACAGTTTCTTTTTAAAGAGAAGAGGAAGGAAAGAGAGGACTTAAAAGTACCGTTTGTTCTGCCACTGGAAGAACTGAACGAAGTGAAAAAATCAAGTTCTTGATCTTCTTGCGACGATCACGTTCACTAGCATTGTGATTAAGCTTCTTGACCATGGTAGGGTGTGGGGATGGTGTAGACCTTTCAACCTCAACTTGTGGCTGTGCTGAAGAGAATTGATGGGGAAATGAGTGTGATTCAGTATCTTTACAGAAATAGTTATGGTTATTGCTTAAGGGCTCGTCCTCTAAGTTCCAACCCATGTTTGAGAATAGAGGAGCAGTGGAGAATGCAAGCATGGTATATAGCTTTGTTAGAGGGAGTCAATAACTTGCTTAGATATTTGATGATAATGTCTTGTATATATATGTATACAAGCCATCGTCCTAAGCACCCATGTTTAAAAATTGACTAAAATATAATTTTTTTTCCCCCTATCCTTTTCGACCATATTATACTTTTCAAAATTAAATTCTTCAATTTCGTGCCAGACAATAAATAATTGAATTAACAAGTTATTTCACAATAGAGAATTAGCTATAGGCGCGCATGCTGGCTCACGTCTGCAATGTGTCAACTAGTTATTTGTCTCTCTTTTAAGGTCAACCTTGTTTATTTAGATTTTGTTTCCTTTTTTGAAATGTCAACCTTTTTTTAATTATAAAGCCGTCTATTTCTCTTTGTTATACTGCATTTATGGGTCTTAGATTCTTGTATAGATGCTAGTGAAACATTTACTGGCTTGCATATTACAGTGCTGTATATCCGTTTCGATTTCTATACATGCATGGTCTGATTGTGTTCGGAAATATAGTGAACAACAACTTTCACAGCTTTGATATCCAGAGAATGATATATATATATATATACTCTGTCTTCTGGTGATAAAGGAAGACCTCTTTAATTAAAAATGGATTTGGTAAATGGATATAAATTAATTAAAGAATTTCGGTTTGAATAGATCGGGATTTGGTAACTCTAATTGAACCACCTTAATATCGATTATTTTTTTCCTTCCATTTTCCATATTGAACCATTTAGAATATCTACATTCAATCTATCCAATCAAAATACTTTTGATCCAGATTATATATATATATATATATATATATATATATATATATATATATAGGAAAAGTGTTTATGCAGTTAATGCAGATAAGTTATCTGCATTTATTCCCAAAACGACATCGTTTTGATATTGAAATCTTAAAAAATTACAAATATAAAGACTATTATAACCCTGAAATAAATTAAAATTACAAAAACACCATGATTTCCGCCCAATACAACGACAGATAACTTATCTGCAGTAACTGCAGAAAAAGCGAACAATATATATATATATATATATATATATATATATATATATAAGGGTTTACATTTCTGCAGTTGTTGTACATGCAGCAATCAAATAGTTGTCATATATATACTTGAAAGCATTAAATGCGGGGAATCATAACCATACAAAGGATGAAAGCATTAACTGTGGGGAATTGTAACCATACACCTGTCGTTGTTGTACGTAAAACGACTGCAGAAATGATTTTACTATATATATACAGAACACTAATTCTGTAGTTGCTGCAGATAAGTTATCTGCATTTACTCCGAAAATGACGTCATTTTGGGATTGAAAAATTAAATAATTATAATTATAAAAACTATAATAACCCTGAAATAAATTAAAATTATAAAAATACCATGATTTTCGCCCCAAAACGACGTCGTATCAGGCTTACTGCAGATAACTTATCTGCAGTAGCTGCAAAAAAAGCAAACATATATATATATATATATATATATATATATATATATATATATAACTTTACTTTTATTCAGCCGCTTGACGTCCAACAAATAAATTCAAAAAATCATAATTATACAAAGGTGAATGAAAGCATTAAATGCGGGAAATAATATCCGATCAACGATGCCAGGATTATTGCTCGACATCCAACAGTCGGAGAAATAATACACACACACACACACGAGTTTATTGTTTGTCTGGTGACTGGATATAAGATTTTGTCTTGTCACCCCTTTATAATTATGTACTCCGGGGAGTACATAGTTATAATTTTAAAGTTATTTTTTTTTCTCTTCTCAAAAACTTTTATGAAACTTGTCGGGTGACGTAGAGAGAAAGAAAAAAAATTAATATTATAATTATGTACTCGTCCCCGAAGTACATAGTTATAAGGGGTGACAGGATAAAATTTTATATCTTGTGACTGAACATCCGTTGATCACTCTCTCTCTCTCTCTCTCTCTCTATATATATATATATATATATATATATATATATATATATATATATATAGTGTTGGCTTTTTCTGCAGTTAATGCAGATAAGTTATCTCTAGTAAGCCCAATACAACGTCGTTTTGGGGCGAAAATCATAGTGTTTTTGTAATCTTAATTTATTTCAGAGTTATTATAATATTTATAGTTATAATTTGTTAATCTTTAAATCACAAAACGACGTCATTTTGGGAGTAAATGCATATAACTTATCTGCAGTAACTGCAGAAATATTTTTCTGCTATATATATATATGAGTTAATGTTTATCATGTTTTAAAAGATAAATTTGTCTCCTACAAACACATAAAAGTGTGTGAGACTCATATTATTTCTTTCTCTCTCCTCTTCACATGGGTCCTACATGCTTTTATATGTATATGAGATAAAATTTTATCTCCTAAAACATAAGAAACATTAATCTCTATATATGGGTTTGATGTTTCTTATGTTGTAAGAGATAAAATTATCTCCTATATATTAGGGGTGTTCATCAACCGATCCAAACCGATTCAAACCGCGGTACCGAAACGAAAAACCGATAACCGAATAAACCGAAAACCGAAAAATCGAAAGCTGAAAAAAACACGGAAAATTTAATTGGATTGTATCAGTTTTTGGATGGGTTAATGAAAACCGATCCAATATATTAATTCTCCTCTACCTACTTGGGTCTTTCTCTAATCATAGCCTAAAAATTTCTAAACCGAACACCCATTAACCCATCAACTAAACCCAAGAAAAAATCTAGTCACATTTTATCAACAAAATTTTATCTTTGTAAAGCTTCATACCTCATTGCCAACAAAAAAACTATATTATAGTTTCCTAATGCTTTTGTATTTCAAATTTTTTTTATTACAAAGCCAATATATACAAAAGATGTTATTTGCACAATAATTATGAAATAAATTTTAGAATTTTCAAAAAACTGAAAACCGATCCAATTCAAACCGGAAAAAATTGGATCGGATCGGATCGGATTTGAAAAAAATTCAAACCGAATGAATAATTACATGCTCAAATCGAAGGGATTGGATCAGATGATTTTTGCTTCAAAAACCCATCCAATTCAGACCGCGAATACCCGTATTATATATACATAAAAATACGTAAACCAAGGTGTGGCCATTTGAAAATAAATAAATAAATCTCGTAAAACTTCCCCCACTCTCTCTGAAGTCAGGTGTAACGCATTCTCGGATCTACAATCCTTATATTCGCCCCCTATAAAATGGAGTTATGATTTTAAGAGAAATGATAGGCTAGGTATAAATCTTACTAATTAAAATACTTATATTCATTAAATTATTTTTGTATTCTTTTTTTTTTGGTAAAATTAATTTTTGTTTTCTTAAATCTTAACCACTTGATATCTACGTATCATGATTTTAAATTGCAGTTTATTTGTTTGATTCAGTCTATTTTGACTATAATATTAAAATATTGGGGACAGCTGCAATTTAAAATCTTGTATTATATAAAATATTTATAGGTCAACATCAATCTTAATGAGAGATGCTTTGGGGCCACCGAGTAATTATATAAATGTGTTAATGCAAATCATCACAAGTGGGTGCCTAACTACAAAAACCTAATTGTAGCCGTTGTATTACACGTGCCGATACACAAGCCTTTAGCTTCCTTGTGTACGGTTTGCACGGCTTTATTAAATAAGGCTGGGTTTCAAAAAATTTGTGGAAGGAATTACGAAATATGATGTGCGAATGACCCGACATACGCGTCGATATTAGGTTGTATACGATAATAATAATAGTAAATATGTTAACGCAAATTATCGCAAGATGGTGTTTGCAAAACCTAATTGTAGCTTGTATTACACGTGTCGACATACACGCCTTTAGCTTATTTGTTTGTGGTCTGCACGGGTTTATTAATTAGGATGTGTGGGAAAAAATTATTTTCTATATACACATAAAATTATATAAAGTCCATGTAAAATTTTGTGAAGAGAAAAAAAATAAAAGAAATTGTGGACCTATATATTTTTATATATTTATATAAGACATTTTTATCTTCTATAACATGACACTAAATCCTATTAATTAAGGTTACGTTCCCAAAATTTAATGGACAAGGATTACGAAATATGATGTTTGCATGACATTATACATTAGTATGCATAAGCTATATTAGGTAGTATAGGTTAATAATAATTTGGATAAATTACCTAAAATATTCATGTTTTTTTAAAAATTTATGTTGCACGTTTAATTGAAATTATTAATTCCCTTAATTACTGATAGTTCAAAAACCTTTTATGGTTTTGTTTAGAATCACTTATTTCCTATACTTTTTTTAATCACTTATTTTCTTATGAATTTTTTCATCCAAACTCATTCTTAATATTGTTAGAAACTCAATTAATCTATTGTGTAAAAAATTAATTCAACACAAAAGTTTAAGCTGTTGAGTGAGGTTACATTATTGATTTTATATTTCTCTAACACACCCCCTCATATAAAATTATGTAAGGTATATATAGGGTTATATGAAGAGAAAAGAGAAAAAAGAAATTGGAGGCCCCACATATTTTTATGTGTTTGTATGAGATAATTTTATCTTCTTTAACATAACAATAAACCGTATTAATTAATGTTAGGTTCCCAAAATTTAATGGACAAGGATTACGAAATATGATGTTTGCATGACATTATACATTAGTATGCATAAGCTATATTAGGTAGTATAGGTTAATAATAACTTGGAAAAATTACCTAAAATATTCATTTTTTTTAAAAATTTATGGTGCACGTTTAATTGAAATTATTAATTTCCTTAGTGATAGTTCAAAAACCCTTTATGGTTTTGTTTAGAATTACTTATTCCCTATACTTGTTTAAATCACTTATATCCTTATGAATTTTTTCATCCAAACTCATTCTTAATACCGTTAGAAACTTAACTAATCTACTTTGTAAAGAACCAATTCAACCCAAAAGCTTAAGTTGTTGGGTGATGTTACATTATTGATT